GGGGCGAGGCCGGCAGGTGGCGCTGTGACTCCGCCCTCCTGTATATGCGGGGCGGGGCCGCCAGGTGGCGCTGTTACGTCGGACTCGCATTGTTAACACACTGGGACAGAGATAACGATAAGGATGAAAATAAGGATCTTTATGAGGATAAGGTTCTTTATTTTCAGCCATTGAATATCATTTCCAGGTTACATTGTAGATAAGCCTCTTCATTTGAGGGTTTGAGGTGTTTAAGGATTGAAGTCTTCAATGAGATATTCCAGGTTGGAGAGGAACTCCGCCTCTAATGCCGGGAATGTTGTGTCCCCCCAATGATTGGATATAGTCACCCCGGGGACCCCCCCCGAGATATGACTTCATGTAGTTCAGGGAGGAAAAAAGTAACTTGTCATGGCAATCCCCCAAGTTAACAGTGTATATGGGGGCAAAACAATTACAGGGGGGGGGGGCTAGCTGAAAGTGGCAGTGCTAATTTTAAAGAGGAGGGGCATAAATGAAAGGGGCAGGGCTTAGTAGAAAGAGGATGGGTTTTGTACATGCAGTAGCCCTGCCTATTTATGAAGTGTCAGGCGGGGACAGTGTGGGAAGAGGTTCAGCACAGAGGTGTGGGGAGCGCGGGAGAGGTTCAGCACAGAGGTGTGGGGAGCGCGGGAGAGGTTCAGCACAGAGGTGTGGGGAGCGCGGGAGAGGTTCAGCACAGAGGTGTGGGGAGTGCGGGAGAGGTTCAGCACAGAGGTGTGGGGAGTGCGGGAGAGGTTCAGCACAGAGGTGTGGGGAGTGCGGGAGAGGTTCAGCACAGAGGTGTGGGGAGTGCGGGAGAGGTTCAGCTTCCTGGCCAATCAGAAAGCAGGGCATCGCGTCATTACATGGTGCCCGGCTTCCTTGATTGGACGGCTCCGGCTGGGTACCGGAGGGAGGCCGCGTTCTTGCTGGAGTGGCCCCCGGGGGGTGACGGGTCGCACATACTAAGGTAAGGTAACCTTACCTCACGAGGCCAGCTTCCGGTCACCTGCGAAACCGCGCAGGGTGCAATGACGCGCTGCCCGGTTTCCTGATACCGGAAGTATCGGGCTAGGTATCGGAGCATTCGGGCCAGTACTCACCCAAATACTCGGCATCGGCACCGATATCAATACTAGTATCGGTATCGCTGCATCCCTAGTTAAAAGTAAACCTGCCGCTCCGTGTATGCAGTGAGAGGGGTAGTGCTGCGCTGCGCTGTGCTGTAACTCCTGGAGGTGACGGGATCAATAAAGAGAACCTGTCACCTCCAATTGCTATCACACAGGAGGGCTTTTTATCTCCTCTGTGATAGCAATAAAGTTAGGTGAAAAAAAAAATTAAATTGTTAGGACAGAGTGGCTCCTCCTCCTCTGGGGCAGTAGGTGGTGTGTAGGACAGATTGGCATTTGAAGGGTCGGTCACTATGGTGACAATGCCCTATGTCAGGTTCCTGTTAATGACAAAGCTCCACTTTTGTCACTTCCTAGGCCCCTCCCCTGAGGAGCCAAAGGCGGAGCCGGTATTTATTCTCTATGGTACACATACAGTGCTTTGGAGGCCCCCCGACACAACCGAACTCCGTAACTGAATTTAATGCTCTGATGGGGGTTTGTGGAAATTGTGGCCCTCAAAGCGGAGTTGCCCTTTCGGCTGGATTCACACCTAGGCGACTCCTATTACGTGCGTCGGGTTTGTGCGTTTTTGTGAGCAGATTCCGACACATTCACGTGAATGGGAAGAATGGGCATTTTTTAAACCCTTTCTAGTGAGTCTACGGGACAAAACGCACTGAAATGGGCCCCAAAGTAGCGCAATGTGTAGTATTTCCTGCGCCAGGATGAAACCCTGACGTATACGGGGGCCACAGAGGATTCCTGGTGTTCAGCTCTTTGTCCTGCTGATCAATGAGCGACCATCAGCTTAGGTGTGAATGGGCCCTTAAGGTGGGACAACAAAAGGGGACGAGAGTGGGTGGGGCAGAGAGTGACTCCTCCCCCTCACACGGGGGCAGGTATTTGGTGTCTGCTGTTGTCAGTGTCTGTCTGCTCTGCCTCGTTACAAATAAAGCTTGGCGAGAAGGAGCCGCCAGGCCTTTGGAGCAGCAAGATGGCGGCCGA